ATATAAAGGTAATATCATTAGGATGAAATTTAGAAATTGACAATTTCAATCTTTATTAAGCATCATTGATTGTCATTTCATTTCTTTATTAATTCTAATTTTAACAACTCAAATTTTAATGATACATTCTCGAAAGTTTAAATTATATAAAAATCTATGGAAAAGGTTAGACATTTAATAATTACATTTATGAAGCATTTTCAAATTTCTCTTTTTCCCCCCAATTATTTCCCTTTATTTTTTACATATACGGCATTTTCATTTTTCTATCAAAATTTTATTTTCATATTTTATCATTAAATAAAACAATAAGAAAAAGGGAAAAAAATGATACCTTATTTGTCAATAATAATTAAAGTTAATATGTATATAAGGAAGCATAGCATACATGGAGCAATAGTGTACAATATTAATTATAACATATTTATAGTATTAATGTGATCAGTAATGATAAGCTGATAAAGATGATAAAATGTAGTTATGATAGTAGTCATAACAATAATAATAATAATAATAATAATGATAATAATAATAATAATAATGAGTAATAAAAAGTAAAAATGAAATAATTAATCGATAGAAAATATTTATTTCTTTTTCCTTGACTGTTACTTCAATTAACCTTTGAACCAATTCCTTTCTTTTTTTGAAATAAATAAACGAATGGATAATTGAATTTGACCGTTGCGATCATTGATTGATAAGAATGCTAATAAAAAGGCTATATATGAATCAAAGAAGATGTCGATATATGAATCAAAGAAGATGTCGTATAAGAAGATGTCACAATAAAAAGGCTAAAGGTATAGAATCAAAGAAGATGTCGTATAAGAAGATATCACGATAAAAAGGCTAAAGGTATATGAATCAAAGAAGATGTCGTATTTTTTCACTTCCTTTAACTTTTGATGGAGCTGTACCTGAAATGATACAAGTTACAATTTTTATTAAGCAAAAAATTACGGTATATTTCAAATTAAATGATTTAATTTTTTTAATTTTTCAAATTTATTATTTATTTTGAATTATTGATTAACAAATTCATTATTTGGTTTATATCGAAATTTTTGTTTTAATTAATTCTTTTTGTTTTTTCATTCATCAAATGTGAATTAGTATTGTAGTTTTAAATCAAATTCATCGACTATATGTTGATTTATTTCTTTATATATCATTTTATTGTTTCTTAGTTCTTTTGTTTAATTTATATTAATCAGTTTTTATCAAATTCTTTTAATTTAACTATTTACCTTTGTTTACTTACGAAGTATGAAAGTAATATTATGGCTATTTAAGTGTGATTATTTAATTAAGATGAAATTTTAATTGAAACACACAGGAAAGATGAATAAGAATATTTCGAGAAAGGCATTCATTTCGCTTAAAGACTTTTGCAGAATGGATTACTTTTAAATTAGATCAATTGGAATGGATTACTTTTAAATTAGGTTAATGTATCGATCAATTTCTTTTCTTTTTTTCATTAACTTGTACATTTAAATATTACATTTAAATAATATTAGCTGCATCACGTAACTTATAGCATCTCACGTAATGCTATCACATAATTTGTAGCATCACACGTAATACTATCATGTAACATGTTATCCAAAAATATTTAAATATTATCAAAATTAAAGAATTGTAAGAATGGATTATATTTTAGTTACAATATAAATTATCCATTATCATCGTCATCGTTTAATATAATTTATGTATTTCAAAATTATTTTAGTAAAATATTTCAATTTACTTAAGCCCTATTATTTAAAAAAATATCTTTTAATGGTTTATCGGGTAAAAAGTTAAAAAAGACATTTCAACAATGATGAAAATTTTTTACTAAAATAGTTCTTCCTTTTCCTAAATTATAAAATCTTTTTTTTTAATTGATATGTTAATTAATATATTTTATACTCAAATGCTAATTAATAAATTTTTTAATATTGAAAATTTTACTGACATTAAAAGAAAATGCTGCCAACTTATTTCTTTTTCCCTTCTATAAGAAATAACTAATAGTATGAATGAATTTTATATATTATATTATTAACACAATATCAGGCGTATATGATAGTAATACTTTCATGTATTAAATATGTCATTTTAGCTTAATGTAAAAGACAAATGAAAAAAATGAAGTAAATTGCTGAACTGCGAAAAAGTAATTTCCTATTTTGTCGTTTGAAAATAAAATTAAAGAAAAACAAGCGGTCAATCGTGGAAAAAATAAGGAAAAGAGAATGACAAAATGGAAATTTGAAAAATGAAATAAAATTTCAAATCGAAATTAATTATAAATAATAGATTACTTCAAATAAAACGTAGTAAAAGGTTGAGAATTTTTCGAATTGTTTTGCCTATGCTATTTCTTTCCTTATTTTCTGCTTTTAATTCTTGCTACTACAATGTAGTAAAAATGAAATTGGATTATATCGGCAGAAGGATGAGAAGAAAAATGTACTTAAATTAAATTTGAATAATTTTAGATGACCAATNTATGCTATTTCTTTCCTTATTTTCTGCTTTTAATTCTTGCTACTACAATGTAGTAAAAATGAAATTGGATTATATCGGCAGAAGGATGAGAAGAAAAATGTACTTAAATTAAATTTGAATAATTTTAGATGACCAATTTGAAGAGAGTGAAAAAAGTTATTTTTATCGTAATCGAAATTTTAGGATCGTTGAAGTGGCAATAGAAGAAAAGATAGAAAAACAACAAAATCTTTTTATGCTTTCTTTCTTTTTCTTATGTCATAGAAATTAATTCAATCATTTTCAAAGCACTAATTGGTAGCTTATAAATTCATTAAATTACTTTTGTTTTAATTTTTCTTAGATGAAAATAAATAAATTTTTACTTCAATCATTTTTCATAATATTTATCAAAAATTTATTGATTTTCATTAAAAAACAAACAACAAAAGTACGAAAAGAAAAAGAACTTTTAATTATTAAATTTAAATTTTATAAAAATATTAAAATTAATAATTATAATCACATTTAATAATAATTGCTTATTGTTTTTATGGCTAGTACGGTAAATAATAAAACGAAAAATTTCTCTTATCAATAATTTAACTAATCAAATGAAATTGATTAACTCAATATTTAATTACTCTCAATTAATTTCTCTCGGGAAATGAGAGCATTCATAATTTTTATAATAAAACAATCCTGTTTAAATGATTCCCTGAAGCTATCAAATATTACCAGTGATGTTTATAATAAATACTAATCAATAATACCTGGAGTTTTTCGATCTAATAACATTTCGCGTGCTTTTTCATTAAAACCACGATGTGGTGCTGTTGTTTGAACATCTTTCTTTATATTTTTATTTGGTATATTCTGAAATTAAATTTAATTTAATTCACAGAAGGAAAGAAATAAAAATATTAATTGNAACATTTCGCGTGCTTTTTCATTAAAACCACGATGTGGTGCTGTTGTTTGAACATCTTTCTTTATATTTTTATTTGGTATATTCTGAAATTAAATTTAATTTAATTCACAGAAGGAAAGAAATAAAATTTAGCTAAAATTAAGCTAAAATTAAGCTACTTTAATAGTATTCAATAGCACGCAAATATTGTTTTGCATTAAGCACGCAAATATTACATTTGCATGCTTAATCTGCAAAATATCAAAATAAAAGCGCGATAATATTGGAATTACAGGGTGAAATAAGCGATTAAATAATACTTTAATTATTTTTTAATTATTTTTTCTTTTTTTGTAATTGAAATTCAAATATGCAAAAAATAAACATAAGTTATAATAAGTTATAAAAAGAGAAGGGAAACTGACTGATAAATTAAATATGAAGGAATAATTTTGATAATTTAAACAAGCATTAAACACACATAGTTCATTTATTCCTAAATCATTTTTTTTTCTTACAAACATTAATTAAATGATAATTACTGATAAGATCATTTAGTAATATTTGTTGATGCTATCAGTAAAAGATGTGGGAGAAAAAGAGTTAATGTATTTATTTTAATTCATTACTTATTTTGTTGATTATTACTTTACTCTCCATATCACATTTAAATGAAGTTACAAAATTATGATAATGGGAAATACGTGTTAATTTGAAAAAAAATTACTACTTATCATTTCAGTAAATTTTACAAATTTCATATCAAATATTTCATTTCCAGTTTTGCTCATTTTACATTTTGAAATATTGTTAATTGATAATATTCTTATCACACAGTGTTACTTATTAATCATTTAAATGTAGTAACCACTGATATTTACAGGTAATCTAATAACCACTAATATTTACGGATAACGTAATAACCGCTGATACTTACAGGTAATGTAATAACCACCAATACTTACGGATAACGTAATAACCGCTGACACTTACAGGCAACGTAATAACCACTGATACTTACAGATAACGTAATAACCACTGATACTTACAGGTAATGTAATAACCAATGATACTCACAGGTAATACTTATAGGCAATTTATCGGTCAATTTCAATAAATTTTACAATTTTCATATCAAACATTTCACTTACCTTATTTGTTCATTTCACNTAACCACTGATACTTACAGGTAATGTAATAACCAATGATACTCACAGGTAATACTTATAGGCAATTTATCGGTCAATTTCAATAAATTTTACAATTTTCATATCAAACATTTCACTTACCTTATTTGTTCATTTCACAATTCTTGTCCCTCACTGTTATTCATTTATTAATATCATTTAAATATGATAATCGCTTAAATGATGCTTACAGGTAATTTATCGAATGTAGCTGATTGTGGTTCCAATAAAATTCCTCGAACTTTTTGGCTGAATCCACGATGTGATGCTGCATCATTTTGATCGTCCATTGTATCAACGTTGCTTACATTTGTTTCCGTCATCGTATTTTACATAAAGAAAAAATTGTTTTTTAAATTACAAAAAATTAAATAACAGAAAATTAAAATTAACTATTATAAGTTTATAATACGAAAATATAAAATATTTACTTTACATTTATTTATTTTTGAATATTTTACAATTATGTAAAACAGATGAAATTTTTGCAATTAATATATTTTCACTTTTTTCCTTTTCTTTCTTTGTAATTTGCTAATTTACTCTTTAATTAATTAATAAAGAAAAGAGTGAAAATGAAATTAGAAGTTCAAGAGGTCAAAAATTTGTTGCTGATTTAGAAATTGTAGCAATAAGTAAGATAAAGATAAGTTTGGAAGAGAAAATAATTTTAATCATCGAAAAACGTTAAAATTATTTTTTAAAGAAAAATTCATTTATCATATTTTATAGTATAAATGAAAAGTGAACACAAAAGAGATATTTGAAAAATTTAAATTTTTTTGTAGGATAGCAGTGAATGAAAAGATGAAAGAAGAAATTAAAATTATAGCAAATGTTGAATATTACTTTGATTTAAATTTATTCCTTCATTAATTAATTTCAATTTACTCCACCACTAATTAATAAATGCTAATGAAAAATAAAGTATGAAAACAGAAAGATAGCAATAGATGAAAAGATGAAAGAGAAAAATTAAAATTATAGCAAATGTTGAATGATACTTTGATCTAAATTTATTCCTACATCAATTAATTCAAATCTATTCCACTGCTAATTAATAAGTGATAATTAAAAACGTAGTATGAAAACAAAAAAAAAACCTTCAAAAATAAAATAGCATTAAAAAATGTTCAATGAAGTTTTAATATTTTGCGTTACAGTTTTAACATTAAAAGGAAATATGTAAGATGAAAATTAGAAATAAGAAATTGATAATAAAGAAACCCAAAAGTGAAAATAAAAGAGAATTATTGAATTTATTAATTGAAATTAAAATGATGCAACCTATCTGTANACAGTTTTAACATTAAAAGGAAATATGTAAGATGAAAATTAGAAATAAGAAATTGATAATAAAGAAACCCAAAAGTGAAAATAAAAGAGAATTATTGAATTTATTAATTGAAATTAAAATGATGCAACCTATCTGTAAATTTGTCAACAACTAATAATCGTTGTAAAATGTAGAAAAATAGAATTTCAACATTTAAAAAAGAAATGTGAGAAAAGAATTTGAAGAAATAAAGAAAAGAAAAGAAAAATTAAGTGAAAATGAAAGAGAATTATTGAATTTATTAATTGAAATTAAAATGATGCAATCAATCTGTCAGCTTGTCAACAACTAACAATCGTTGTAAAATGCAGAAAAATGAAGAAAAAAAGTAGGAAATGGAGAAAAATAAGGAATAGTAATTAATTATGAACATTTATAATATTTAAAGAAAAAATTTATCCTCCTCCCGCTCTCTCCCATATAACTTCACCTCCCAATCCTTCCCGTATATTTAAAGAAAAAATATTGAAATAAAACCAATTCGTTCTTATCCTCCTCCCGCTCTTTCCCGTATAGCTTCATCTCCCGCTCTTTCCCCTACAACTTCATCTCCCACTCCTTTGCGTATATCCTTGCCTCCCGCTCTTTCCCGTACAACTTCATCTCCCACTCCTCTTCCCGTATATCCTTGCCTCCTGCTCTTTTCCGTATAACTTCATCTCCCGCTCGTTCCCGTATAATTTCACCTCTAGCTCCTTCCCGTATATCCTCACCTCCCGCTCTTTCCCGTAACTTTCAATAATTAAAAAAAGTTAAAAAAAAAACCATCAAGAAAGCCTTAACTGTTAATGTATGAAATAAAATAATTCAATCGAGTTAGCTCTAATATGTCTCTTAACATGAGAAGTTTGATAGTTGAAAGCTGAATTCATTGTTATCGTCATCATTTTCTCTCTCCTTCTCTCTCTCTCTCTATCTTTGCCACTCTCTTTGTCTTAGTCCTTATTTGACGAATCTGTTAATATTGTTTGTTTTTTGAAAAATTATATTTCAAAAATGATGAACGATGAAACTTCGTTTTAAAATTCTTTAGAATTTTTTGTTTCAACTTTTTTTTCCAAATATTATTATTTATGAATATGATTATTATTATGATTATCATATTATTATTATTATTAATATTACTATTATTATTTATTATTATTATTATCATTATTATTATTATTATTTTCCCACAAATTATTATTTAACATATTATTCCCTTTTGTTTTCTTCATTTCCTGCTTTTTCTTTCGCTTTCATTCATACTATATTTTAACATCAATAGTTTTCAACAAGGTAAAACAGGTGCTTCATTTT